AATCTGACAGTGATTAAAATCACTATCATAAGAAACGCTTCGATGCAAATCTGTAGATAGTGTTTAATTTAAAAAAATTGAAAAAAATGACAAAATTTACCGATTTTTAAATTAGTAATTTTTTTGGATATTTCCCCCATTTGCGGGAAACGAGGGAATTTTGTAGTGAATTTTGAGTGCTACCGACAATCCTCGTGTATTAACCAATTTTGACTACAAATTAGAGGTCGCGATTGTGAACGGGTATTAGAATACACGGAGCCCGGGTACAAGGGCAAAACATATATTAAAAACCGTGTATTTAATACCCATGCATACATTGTATATTAATATATACAATATATATAAATTTATGAGTATTTAAGGTCACGGGTATTTAAATTCCCGGGTATACACGGATATTTTTACTACACGAGTTTTAACCCCGTCATAGGTACAAACAAGAGTACTCGTGTTTTACACGAGAAATCGCGATCTCTACTACAAATTATTCACTAATTTACAGATTATTAACTTTATTTTAACTTACAGATAGTCATATAAAATTTCTGAATGTTTAATATAGGAAAACTTTTAATCGAGAGCTTTTATTTTAATATTTTCATCATTTAATCATCTCTATTTTAATTTTAAATAACTCTCAAACATATATCATTAAACATTTTTTTGCCTCTTAGCATCTAGGTATAAAAATATTAATAACTTATACATAGTCATAACATGTGTCTCACTAACAGTATTGCTTGTATATATTTTAAATATTAATAACTTCCAAAATACTCGTTCAAAAGTTGGGTCAATCATTATCTAAAGTTAATAATTTTCTATTTTTCTATTTGTATAAATATATAAGTATAAATATTTATATTTTTATAATTGATAAGATAGCTAAATAAGTATATAGTCATTAAAACAAATATAGTTGTTACCCTGAAACTACAAAATTACCCCAAAAAAATATTTTATTTTTATTTTGTTAATAAATAAATTATTTCTCATAAAAAAATTGTGTTGATCCATACACTTTTCAATAGGTTATAGCATTATAAAGTTTTTATTTAATAGTACATTTTTTAGATTTGAACCCCTCTCAAATATAGGGAAATGGTCCGATTTAAAAAAACAGTATGTCGAATGAAAGATGTATATAAATACTATTTCTCATGAAAAAACTGTATTGATCAAATGATAGGTAAAGACATCAAGCATCTATATAAAAAAAAATTATATTGATATGTTCATTTTTGAAAAAGTTACGGCAGTTTTTAGTAAAAAAAATTGAAAAAATTTCGAAAGTTAGCAATTTTTTAATTTGTAATTTTTTTGGAGGTTTCCCCCATTTACGGGGAACGAGGGAATTTTTTTCAATTTTTAAGGGTAATGTCTTCGACTAGATACGATTTGTGATCTTTTGACGTATCGTTGAAAGAAATTGGTTCGGTGAGAGCTGAGAAAAAGTGGTAACAGACACAAAAAAAAA